AACGAGCAACATGTTTCACGTGCAAAACTCGCCATGTAACTCTTGTCATATACTGAAACTTGTTATGATACATTAAAAATTGTTACAAATAAAAATTGTCACGTAGGAATAAAACTTGTCACAATAAAACTTGTCATACTAAAATAAAATTTGATGTGTAAAAATTTGTAACTTGTAATTGCATTGTTCATGTTTCCAAATCTATCAACATCCTTTGACTAGAGATTAGCCATTACCGGTCCTTTCTCACAGACCGATATCGAGTTTACGTCCTCAGAATCCTCTTACGACGATGCGTGTGCAACGTACCCAATTAGCGAGACCACAAGAGATCAACTTCTCCCTTTCTCCGTGTCTTCCGCCTCCCGGTGTACACTTAGGGTCAAACGCTCGTAAACGTCCGACGAAACGTTCGGCTCCGCTCGAAGTCCCTCGAAGCGTCTGTCAAAAATCCTATTATGAATTTCCCGGCGACCAATCGGACCGACGCACGGTGACCCCGGATTGTCAACCTTAAAGGTCTCGTCCTCCTTCCACTCTGCAACTTTTCACCGGGATTTTCTATATCGTCCTCTTCGTCGCTCGCTAACGACCCGGCCAAGCCCACAGGCCACAGGTGTAGTAAACCTCTTTACCTCACGCACTCGCGTGTAATGGCCCCTCTTACACCCGTGCCGTGCATCTGCCGACCTCGCATGCTACCTCGCCAACTGTGGTCCGCTTGCTTCTTCCTGGACGTCTTTTATCCTTCATTCTTCTCCTTGTACCCGTTGTACGCCAGATTGGTACCTCTGCAAGGTGTTTGTCCAACTTTCAATGCAGTTGGGCAAATTATCGATGAGAATTCCTACGCTTCTTGCCATCCACTATAAATAGCATGTAGGAGTATAGAATATGATAAATTGTTGAATAAAGTGAACGGAATTTGGAGAACCATTTCTTTCTCTATTGTTCGATCCGACGCATGTTGTACATAATTTTTGTCTCACTGTTGTGAATAATTTCTGCTGAAAATACGTGTGACAATGTAATAAGCTTGTATTCTATGTATTTAGAATAAGAAGTATTCAGCAGCCACCACATGATGAACGGAATTTGGAGCACCACTTCTTTCTCTATCTTTCGATCTGACACACGTGCTGTAAATAATTTCAACCTCACTGTTATGAATAATTGTTTCTGCTGAAAATACGTGTAACACAAAAAATAATAACGTAAAATAATACGATGAATAAGCTTGTGTAATAAGCTTGTATTCTATGTATTTTGAATAAGAAGTATTCAGCAACCATCACATGATGAACGGAATTTGGAGCACCACTTCTTTCTCTATCTTTCGATCTGACACACGTGCTGTAAATAATTTCAACCTCACTGTTATGAATAATTGTTTCTGCTGAAAATACGTGTAACACAAAAAATAATAACGTAAAATAATACGATGAATAAGCTTGTGTAATAAGCTTGTATTCTATGTATTTTGAATAAGAAGTATTCAGCAACCATCACATGATGAACGGAATTTGGAGCACCACTTCTTTCTCTATCTTTCGATCTGACACCCTTGCTGTAAATAATTTTAACCTCACTATTGTGAATAATTATCCTTGCTAAAAATACGTGTAACAAAAAATACTTCCATTACAGTACTTTTTACGATACGTCATCTTGTAACAAGCTAATGAATAAATCTTAGTTTAAATTATATAGTAAAATTATAACCTGAAAATTAATATGAAAGAGAATTTCTGGGAATTGTTCAAACGAAAGCGTATAAACTAATCGATAGGAATATCGAAGAGGATGAATATTAATTGAATTGCGTGACCAACACTGTACCCCGAAGAAATTTTTGCAAGTGAACATGGAATAAGGGTCACCGTCAGACACCTGCGAGCTCCTCTCGCAATTACAAGCAGCACGTCCGTATGCCGTCGATGCTTGATGCATCGTGTCCTGCGGGTTCGTTAGAGCCGGCCATCAGAATTCGCAGATATCGAGAAGTCCTTGGACGAACGATCGGTACGTCGTAATTTATCAGAGTCAGAATACAATGATATAACGTCTCGTTTGATATTCTAACGCGAAACGTGAAAAATCGCGTTCTATCGCGAGAGGCGTCAGCGCGAATAATGAATCGATCGAGGAGAAGCAACAGGCAATTAGATAAACGAGACACGAAATTGATAATGCGCGGTAAAACGTAATCAGGGTTAAAAAATTGAGACAAAGGCCTTTGGATGCTGCGATAGGAGTTGAATGTACAACCGGTCCTTCCGTGATACATTCTTCCTTTCTTCTCTCGGCGGACGGGAAGTTTATTAATTTACGACAACACCAACTTAGCAGGAATTTACATAACGCGCAGGAAAACACGCGACAAAAATGGACGGGGGTGGATAGAACGGAGGTGTGAACATTGGCGTATACACTCTTTTTTTAGGTTAGGTTTTGACTGGATTCTTTAATTCGTGGATTTAAATTCTCAAATCTCCAAATCTCTACCGCCTCAAATTTCCAGAATCATAAATCTAAAATTTTCAACTCTGCTAAATTTCCAAGTTTGCTAAATTTCCAAACCCCTAAATCCACTAATTCTTAAATTCCCAAATCCTTAAAAGCAAATTCCCAAAATTCCAAATCTGAAAATTCCCAAATTCCAAATCTGAAAATCCCCAAACTCCAAACCTAAAAATTCCCAAATTCCAAAATCCCAAAATTAAAAATTTCCCTCCTGTAATCCTCCTACATCGTCCGATTCGCTACGAGTTTTATCCAGCTACGCCAGTGGGCGTGAAAGACGGACAAAGACGGTTCTGTTGATCGATGTCATTCGACATCTTAGAAGCAGAGTTTTCTGTTGTCGAGAAATGTACTAATGTAGTGGTCTAGCGGGGCGATTTTTTCTACTAATTCCGACATCAATAACAGGTACTTGTCCGAGGATTTCGAGACACAGCGATATATGTGTGACTTCGGACGCATCGTAAATCTTCTCGAGATAATTCACGTGGGCGCGATGTACAACGCGTCACAGGTGTCGTATAATAAGTGGCATCTGCATTCAACGCTCAGATTATCGTAATATGAAAGGAACAATGTAAACTGATTGCGAGTCAAAACATATTCTGAATAATTATCCATTAAGCGTATAATTGTATGCATGTGAGCCTCTTTTCGCTCCTGGAAGTTGCTGAAGACAAGGTAACAATGATATATGCTTGGACTTCTGCTACTGAACAAGAAAATAGATCTGTCATTTTATGATAGTGGTACTTTCATTCACTTTGGAATTCATTTTTCTTAATCATTATGTGCTAATTTATAACCACGTTGGCTGTAACCATATGTGAAATTTATTCAAAAATAAATTTTAATAATATTAAGTTAACTCTCGTGTTTTCAATTAAACACTCCATTTTCGAGAGTGCGTTTCATAACCTCCATTACGTCCTCAGACTACAAAAGGAAGATAAACATCAATAATTGATTCTTCAACTTACGTAACTCGTTCGATTTCGTTTAAAGATCGCCCCCAAAAAACAATGTTTGACAATTTTACGTAATTTCCTCGAAAGACCGGCGCTTTTTTCGTGGAGCCAGAAGCTTCGTGGAAGCCTGAATCGTTGGACCAAGAAACCACTATGGCTCGACGGACATCGTCGAGTGGTCCTTCTTCGTTCTACCTAAGTCAACAAGCCGAGATCCCAGGCATTCGAATGTCCGGGGTTACGGGCACGAGTGCTCGTGAATGCACGCAGGTGCACGCAGGTGAACGCATCTTCGTTTGTGTCACTTCGTGTGTGGAGCAAATCGAGAAAAAACGTGAACACACGGAAATCTCGCTTATGCGGTCGTTGAAGTCTCCGAGACGCGATGCAAGTCGACGCTATTTAATTGCGGGTTATTTTAATTGGATACGATTAAATTCGATGCGATTCAGTTTGGATATCTGACCACCCTTTGAGAACTAAAAGTTAACTTAAAAATTGGAGAATTGTTTCTTATGATACCATCTTCCAATTAGAAGTATCATCTCTCAAGTGCCTTTCTACTACGTTTCAAAAGATGCAGAATATTTTATCGAACAAAATTTGCTTCAAGAAAATTTTGAAAACTGTTTCCTTCGAAGAAAAGACCTGTACACTAATGTTCATAAATTATTAATTGTCTAATAAATTAGCTAAGTATGAAATTTTTTCGATTTCAAGTCAATGTAGTAATAAATAAGGACGTCCCAGGTCAACACTCATCCTACGTATCCCCTGAAATTTTTCTTCATGCATCGTGTCACGGCTGGGTCAAACCATCGACCCGCCTCACAATCGATATTATCGCGCCTTCGACGATGAATTTTTTCTAAAATGTTTATCGTTCAGCATCATCGCGACGTTCCCGAGGTTTCCGCGAACTTTTCGAACGGAATAATCCGAGAAAACGTGTTCTGCGGTAGTACATCAACGCGAACAAATTTATTACTAAATAAATAAGCCGACGGATGCGTGTACGCGCGCCTCGCGATGAATCCCGCGTCGTGTGTTCCGCGGCGACGGTTTGGAATGCGAAAGACGCGCGAGACGAAAGTAATCGAATACCATCTCGAGTTCGAGGTACGTGATTACGGACGCTCGAGTAAAGGAAACGATGATCGAGGAGAGATTTAATGAACGACGATCAAGGCGCCACGTATTGGCTGTACAGGTATTTTTATTTTACTGGGTATTTTCGACGGACGGTTGACATGCATTTTCGAGCCTATCGATGGTCATCTCCCTGCTTATCATTTTTCAACTCTGGACATGACAATTTTTTATGTCTATGGAAATTCTTGATATTGCTTTTTACTATTTTATTTATAATCCCTAAATCCCCAAATCTTCATATTCCCGAACCCATGACCTGTCTAGAATTTAAACCACCACAAGATCCCAGTTACTAATTCCAGTTACACCGGTGACGTTGCCTGAAAGTGACATGAAGGCATAAACCACAACTGCAGATGAATTAAAAATTTTTATTCTTCGAATCAAAGTGCAAAACATCACAAGACTCTGAACATGGGGCTCGCTCACGAGCGCACACCAGCATCCAAGCAATCAGACACGAGTAATTAGATCGCGTTAAATTAAAAGACTGAACATAAATAAATCTCGATGCGGCTTAACGAAACACTGGCCATTCCCGAGGGTTCGAGATATCGCGATACTTCAGCGCCCTCACCGATTCCTCGATCGCATTTACACGCTCACTCACGCACACACATACACGAACATATACATGTATTTATCTACTTGGACACGCGTTTGCAGGTGGTACGCGTGCCGCTTATTATTTAACGTTAAACTATCACGTGGTTTTTACTGGCACTCTCTATCTCTCTTTATACTCGGTACAAGAGCTCAAAGGCACCGGTTAAGGCACAATCGTCCGTCGTACATCTCTCCGCGAAACGATGTATCGAGTTTGATCTTCGACCACTCCGTCAATGAACACCTGGCAAAGCTGAAAGCCGGCCAAAGGGACCGTGGCGGCTAATACCGAGGACTTGAGCAATTTTGCGTCGATCCGATCGCCGATCGTAAAGTCATTTGTGCACGGCTACACATGGCCCGTCCACTTCGTGCTTCCTGCATTGGTCCCACTATGCGGGGCCCTTTCTTCTTCTCCTCCCTTCACGATCCAAATTACTCCGTTCAATTCCCTCGCTGGAAACCGTTTTCTTTTCCCGGTCACTCGAACGGACTTCGTAAGTCGTTCTCTTAGTGAAAAGACTACAATGCGAGTCTCTGTGCGAAACTGGCATGAATCCCCGAGCAACGACCTCGACAACGCACTCCAACCCGGAGCCAGTTCAATTACTATCAAAAGCTGTTCACGAGCTAGCTCCGGGTCACGTCTTCCTAGTAAGATCAAGAGGCGGCCCCGTGTCCTGCAACAATTCGTTGTCCTCGCTGTCCGTCGACCTCTCCTCCTCGGTGCTACCAGGGTCCGCCACCTGTCCGTCCGTCCGTCCGCTCTTCATGCTCAGATCGATAGGTTCTTCCTGTTCCGGGCCCAGAGAGCGCAGGAAGGCCAGACTCTTATCGTGCGTTTCCGTTTGACTCCTCTGACACGGTCGATCGGCTCCTCTGCACTCTTCGCGAGGACTCCTATTGTCGTCGTCCCTCTTCGGGGACGGC